GAGGAAGAATAGAAGTGATGAAGAGAGCAGAACGTGCTATGGCGCTTATTGGGCGCTTATTCTGGCGTTTTCTCGCACTTTATTCCTTATAAATTACCTCTTGAAACAATTATTTTGGCACATCTTTTTATATATTCTGGATTCTTGCACTGTGCTCTATCTGATGGTATAACAATCATCTGGATGTTGTGCCTTTTGAATGTGGCCTATTCATGAAATTTGTCTAAGTCCCCAGCTCAAGCATAAAACACAGTGCTGAAGAGCCAAAACTGATCCAATTGTGACCAAATGATTTTTTACATGTAGATCTATGATGGAAATATGTGTGGACCAAATTTCAAGTTAACAGCTTAAGTATAGCAAGTTGTAGAGTGAGAGGCAGATTTGCATTAGAAAGTAAACTGACCTCCAAAGTGCTACTTCCAACAGAACATTTCTTTATTACATTCAGAAATCATAACTACACGCTCGAATATCTTGTCAAGCTAGAAATAGCGAAATTATTTCAAGAACTCTCTTTCCACTCTCTATAAACCCATTTTCTGTACTCTTAAATGAATCAGACATCATAGCAGATTCTCGATTAGTGTGCACCGCACTCCCCCACACTTATCATTTCCAAAAAGCTCGAGACTACCATATTAACACCAGAGAAAATTTAAATACTTCTACAAATTACCTCTGCCCAAATTGCTACTATGAGCATTTCGCAGCATCTGTCACTATTGAAATCCTGACTTATTTGTTCATAAGTAGAGAACAAGAATGAAAAATATGCAGGCGACACAGACTGAACAAACACATCACCGACTATAGTGAGCTCACCCTTGATGACCTTCACACTGATTGCACACCACCTGGCAATATGGATCAACCCATTACTGGATCTCTGGGTCGAAATACTGTGGCCAACCCCCAGGCTAATCTCGTAACTACACTGGTCAACCTATTAGAACAAGCCACCATGCAAAATATAATGAACCTCGTAGCTACACTGATCTAAAATGTCAACAACCTCACAACAAACATAAACTAGTTTATTGCAAATGCACGTCCAGCTACGACCACATCAGTTTCTGTTTCCTGATATCAATTTGTTGTGGAAAAACCAGTAACGTTCAATGGTAAATCATCAGAAAAGGCTAGACTCTTCCGCAGCACCTTTTGTGTTTACATCAGAGCAAACAAAGAGATATTTGCACAATGCGATGCCAATGATGCTATCCACTACAATGCAAACAGTAACTGGCTAGTGGATGCTAATAAGACAATCAGTGCAATCTTCTTGTTTATGACCAGTGATGCTGCGGTTTGGGCTCGCCCACATGTCAAAGAACTCGCAGAAGGGTGCACTCCATCCAGCTTCTTTTGGACAGAATTTGTCAAACAGTTTTCAGCCAAATTCAAGCTCATAAATGCTAAAAACAAGGCCAAGCAAAAACTCATGTCAATTAGGCAGGGCAACCGGACATTTGCAAATTATCTTTTGGAGTTTGAAACATACTCCTGGCACACTGGCTGGTCGGATAACAATCTGTACAACTGTTTCAAGTTTGATATGAACTCTGACTACATCAATACACTGCTGTTAAACTCAACGCTGTCATTCAGCATGTCTCCACACTTTCGCCTCCATCGACCTCACTTCTGAGCATAAGTTGAGACACTGTCAAGCACACCAAACTTGCCGTATACAACAACCACCAGCACTACCAGGTACAGCAAGACCAAGCCTGCACTAGACAAAACGTGCATGCCAGCACTTTTTCTAGCTGCTCTCTAGCAGACCATCTTACTGCTGCTTCCATCTACACTTCTATCACCTCAAAGCTGGTCATCATTGACTTCTCCAAGTACACCACTGCCAATCTCACCTACATCTTTACACCAAAGTTTGCTGCCATGCTCAAGTGGTTCAATGTTCTCAAAACACTCAACTGCCCAGACATCATCGAAAATGACATTAAAACTGTCTTCAAATTCAGAGACCATCTCACTCACCTCTATCGCACTATCAAAGACGTAGCTTGTGTCATCAGCATTGAAGAGTGGAACATTGGAACTTAGGACTAAAGGAAATTGGCAGAGTTTCATTCAAAGGACTGCGGTGCAATCAAGTCCGAGTTTTTAAAGTGCTTTGCGTAGTTTAAAACAACAGTTACTTTGATTAGAGTAGTAAAACTGAACAAGTATATACTCTTCAAATACATAGATTATGACAAGGAAAGAATCCTCAACCTGTACATACTAGACTACATGCTCAAAAACCTCATTAAGCTTGAAATAGTTCAATTATTCCAAGAACTCCCCTTCCACTCTCTATAAACCTGTTTTCTGTGCTCTTGAACAAATTAAACATTGTGGCAGATTCTCGTTCAGTGTGCACTGTGCTTCCTCACACATACCACTTCCAGGAGGCTTGGAATTATCACATTGATGACAGAGAAAATCTAAACACCTGTACAAATTACTTCTGTCCAAATTGCTACTATAAACACCCCACAGCGCCAGTCACTGTTGAAATCCCACTCTATCTGTTTGTGAGTAGAGAACAAGAATGAGAAATTCGTGAGCAACACAGGCTGGACAAACACATCACTGGCTATAGTGAGCTTACCCTTGACAACCTTTGTACTAGTTGCCAATCAACGAGCAAAATGAATTGGCCCATTACAAAACCCCCAGGTCGGAATATTCCAGCCAACTCTTTGGCTAATCCTGCTGACCTGATCGACCTTTCTTAAGCTACCATGCAGAACATGATGAACCTCATGGCCACACTTATCCAAAATGTCAATGATCTCATGGTGAACATGAACCAGTTTATTGCAAATGTGCATCCAACTATAACTGCATCAGTTTCTTCTGCTCGGTACCTGTCCGTCATTGAGAAGCCTGCTATATTTGACTAAAAATTATGAGAGAAAGCCAGACTCTTCCGTAGTGCCTTCTGTGTATATGTTAGAATAAACAAGTAAATATTTGCACAACCTGACGCTAACAACGTAGTCCACTATGATGCAAACAGTTACTGGTTAATAGATGTGAACAAAATGATCAGTGCAATATTTTCATTTATAATGGATAATGCTGTGGTTTGGACTTGCTCACATGTCAAAGAACTTGCTGAAGAACGTACTCCATTCAATTCCTCTTGGACAGAATTTGTCAAGCAGTTCTCAGCTAAATTTGAGCCAGTGAACATTAAAAATGAAGCCAAACAGAAGCTCATATCAATCAGGCAAGGCAATTAGACATTTGTGGACTATCTTTCAGAGTTCAAAACTTACTCCCAATGCACCGGCTGGTCAGACCACTTTAAGTCTAACATAAGCTCCGACTATATAAACCAGCTATTCTACTTCTCCACTCTGGCCACGGACTACGTAATAGTTAAAACCTACGGTGCAATAATCAACCTGCAGAAAGCAAATCTAGCGGCCAATTAAGGTAAACCAGTCTCGCAACCTCAGCCTTTGACATTCTGCTCCTCCTGCTTTCTAAACTCCAATGTAATGGGCATCGATGCTGTCCTCTTCACTGACATTTCTGCCTTCCGCTTTGATGACTTCTTTGACAGCATCAAAGACCCAGCAGAGATCAAGCAGCAGTTCAACAAACTGATAGTTGGTCATTGCCGTGTCTGTGGGTCCAAAAGCCACAAAGTGAATGGTTCACGTGAAGACACCAGGTGCCAACACTGTGGTAAACCTGGTCACTAAAAGAAGCTCTGTCTCTCTCATCTTGCTGAACAATCTACAAAGTCACAATTTGTCAGAGCTACTTTGTCAACTAGCCTCTTATTATCTATGTCCATCTTTGCATTCCAGAACTCCACTGCTGATGTTACTGGTTTTAAGAACATGATTGTTCTAATGCAGCCACAGCAAGCCAAGCTAATGGCAAAGATCAGCTAGAGTTTTTAGCAAGGGCCCAGACTAGAGCTGCAGCTCTAGAGCCTAGTTTAAATGAGTGGCCACAGCACTGACTCTAATATATTCAGACTCTGATTCTTTGGACTACATCTTGTTATGTATTATATCATCCATAAATCATCTCTCATTGCATTTTCGTGTTTTTGTAATAATATCCAGAATAAATAAGTCTCTATGCACTCCTGCTATAATTGACTCAGATGCCACTGGTTACTTTCTACATGAGAAATTTGCATGCAAAAATAACATTTATAAACGACTACTCAAATGACAAATTGGCCTCCAAAATATTGATGGCTTGACAAATAGCACGGGTGCCATCACACACTATGCCAAATTCAAAGTCAAAATTAAATCATGAACTTCTGAGAAATATGGCTTCTTCATTATAGACATTAGTCTCAAAAACGTCATTCTTGGACTATCATGGTTAAAGAAAGTCAACCCCACCATAAATTGGAAGACAGGTGAAATGATGCTTTCTGACAGTTTAGAAGCATCATCTGATCCTCCTGTATTACCACATTTTACTAAAGTCAAAGCTAATCGAGTAAAATGCCAGGCCTGAGTGAAGGTCAGCTTGCTCAACAATGCCGCAGACAAAGTTTACTGCCTCGCCAGCTATACTTATTCACAGAAGGTCATGATCAAGCAAAATAAGGAAAAGTACTCAAAAACATTTAAGCAGCTTGTTCTAAAAGAATACCACCGTCATGCCTATGTCTTCTATAAAACAGGCTCGATAAGACTTTCTGAATACAGACCCTGAGACCTCACTATTGACTTCAAACTGGATACCCCTTCAATGATCTGCTCTAAAGTCTACCTGATGATTCCCACCAAAAGCCAGGAATTACAAGTCTTCCTCAATAATGCAACCAAGAAAGGCTACATTGTCCCCAGCAAATTATCTATTGCTTCACCTGTCTTTTTTATCAAGAAAAAGAACAGCAAGCTTAGACTTATCCAGGACTATCACAAGCTCAACAACATCACCATCCAAAATTAATATCCACTACTCCTTGCTAATGACATCATCAATAAGCTACAGAGCACAAAATCTTTTCTAAATTCAACATCCATTGGGGCTATACTAACATCCAGATCAAAGCTGGAGATGAATGGAAAGCTGCCTTCATCACTAACCGAGGCTTCTTCAAATCACACGTCATGTACTTTGGGCTGACCAATGCACCGGCAACTTTTTAGGCCTTTATGGACACTATCTTTGCAGATCTCATTGCTAAAGGCAAAGTCACAGTATATCTAGATGACATTCTCATCTGATCATCAGATCTTGCATCACACCAAAAAATAGTGTATGAAGTACTAGAGCATCATTCAAAGAATACGACCTCTAACGTTCTGAAAAGTGTGAATTTGCATTTGAAGAAATCTAGTGTGTTAATTTAACAATAATTAGTAGTGATGGGTGCTCATTCAACATTCATAAGATATTATTTGATTCTTGCTTTGTTAGATGAGAGATAATTAGTTAAATGAGTTTAGCCAACACTCTCTATATGTTAGATACAGTAACTGCATCTTATATTAGCTAATTTGTTCTCTCTTCATTAGTGCAAAACTATTAGTTTGTTAAATATATTAATTAGTTCTCTGTCTGTTATAAAAATGTTAAAACTATTATTTCATTCTGTGAATACTAATCTGAAGTTTTTATTATTCTATTTTTATTAGCTATACACTATATCTGCTAAACGGTCCACTATTTGATCAAGTTATATTATATGTGCTAATTTGTTTTTTGAGTGTTAATCATAAGTTCTTTGTATACTAGTTGTGTTAAAGGTACATTATATGTGCTAATTTGTTTTTTGAGTGTTAATCACAAGTTCTTTGTATGTTATTTTTGTGAAAGATACATTCAATCTATTTAACAGTTCACTATTCATCAATGTTACATTATAAATGCTAAGCAGTTCACTATTTGCTAATGTTATACAATAAATGTTAATCTGATCTCAATATGCTAGATGCAAGTTCTTTGTATACTATTTTTGTTAGCTATACATTATATATGCTTAATAGATCATTGTTTATTATTAATATAATCTAATATTAATCTGTTCTTTCAATATGAATTATAAGTCTTATGCATATTATATTTGTTAGTTACATATTACTCACACATATTAGTTCACTGTTTGTTATTTGTATACTATTAATTCTAATTTACTCTGTAAATATTAGTTTAAAGTTTTTATGTCGAATGTACAAAATATTCTCTATTGAAAGATACATCTAATAATATATTATACATACTTCAGCTGTTATCAGTGTTTTTTAGAGATAAGTGTATATGCATGTTTTTATTATTTAACAAATATAAATATTCCCATAGCTAAGCTATTTTAATAATATGTGCTATTTTTAATATATTATAGTAGTGTCACATAGTATAAAATTTTGCTAAGGCACAGTTATATTTGATCTTGTGAACTATAGTATCTCATAGTTCTTATATTATATGCCTATTTTCTAGCCATTTTTGATACATTTTTTGTGCACTCAGTATTTGTATCAAAATAATACCTCAGAAAGATGCTACTAATATTCTAGTGTAGGAGTTATATATATACTATTTAGTTTGCCATAGTAATTGTAAAAAAAAATGTAGCAAAACTTTGATCTTTCTTTGTAGTGTTATGAATTATTTAAAATAGTCATTGTATATTTTGTAGTATGTACAAAGTTATTTATAGCTTTAAATGGGGTTTTTTTTCTTTGACTACTATTAATAAGTTTAGTTTTAACTTGTGCTGATTTTTATTATTTGCTCTTATAGTTATCAATTTGAGTTTCTAATGTAATTATTGTATTTGTAGTTCAAAAAGATGTAATTACTAGCGACATTAGCTAAATGCCATTAGTATTTTAAAGTAAGCCATAAAAATAGATATAATTTGTAACATTTTATTAAACTATATTTGATAATAAAACGATTTAAAAAATATATTAAAATAGTATTAAAGCGCCAATTAAGCGCCCAAATATACCCATCATCTTTAAATACAAATTGATCATTTAAAAAAGCTTTTATATTTATATCTCATATTTCAACTGCTAATTGCTAAAGATTGCAGTAATACATTTTATAAACACAAGTAGTAAAATAAAATGCTAGTTTTAGAGCAAAAGGTAATATATACAGCTTTTAACATCATTAACATATTTTATATACATGGATTAGCATCTATGTTCTATTGTGAAAACAGCAAATAGTTTTTTTTTTGCTAAGTACTAGCTAATAAGCTATATACAACTGTATTTGTGTTATAGAATGTCATATTTATTCTGCACTTTACTTATTACTATATGCATACTAACAACATGTTATTTTAACCAGCAGATTCAGTAGCTAAAGCAATGGTTGATAATCTATTACAAAAAGCCACTGTATATATTACAGGTTGTTATATTAGCAAATGACAGTTGTATCAAATATTGTACATCTAGCATTATATACAAAGGCAACAGTTATATTTAGACCTAGAAGTGTAAATATATGTTAAACTTCTAGATTGCACTTAGAAAGTATTTGTAAGTTGTTAGCTGAGTGTATATAGGAACATTGAAGTGTAAAGTTTATATGAGCCTTATGGCTCAATAATTAAATTGTGCATGTTCTAATAGATTGCTTGAAAGTAATGAGACTGGAGTTCAATTCTCATTGGGGGCATTCTTTTGTTTTTCTTTTTTTGAATATTATGCTTGTATAGAGCTATCAATATATTGTATAGTATAAGAAATTTGTATAGAATTAAATTTGAGTTTGATACATTGATTTTAAAGCTAAGAATACTGAAATAACAGCCTATTAACAAGAAATAACATCTCATTTATACCACATAACAGTTGATGAATATCAAATGAATAGCTAATAAACAGCTCATAAACAGTTCATGAATGAATTACTACATTAGTGTTAATTTACTATCAGAAATATAAGCATAATAGAGAGGGTCAGTTAATTAATGTTACTATATTAATTAGTGTTAATTAGTACTATTTAGTAGTAATTAACATTGTGAGCTTTTCCAGATGGTGGAGGCTCTTATAGTAAACAATGGGGTACACCCTACTGAAATGAATACTCCAGCTACTTATGCAGCTGCAGCAAAGCTTGAATAAGAGTTTAAAGTATAGACCACTCTTAACAGAGGCATACTCAAATATGAGGCCGCTCAAACTGCAGAGAAAACCATAGAATGCTCAGCGGCATCCACAGCAAACTGAAATACCTAGGCCAACAATGCAGCTAAGGCCATGTATGTAAACAGTCCCATGAATGTGAGCACAATGCTTATCATGCAGATGCCCTACAAAGTCAACAGGGCAACTGAAGCAAAGTGACAATAACACTGTAGTGATGACACACTCAAGTCTTTTATTGAGAGACAGTCTCTGACCATCTCCGGTGATTCAAACCTAGTAAAAAAGGTGGAGAGGTAAGAATGACAATTCAACATCACGTTTACTCACCGTTTATTGGAACTCCATTTTGGACATCTCCAGAAGACAGCAGGCTGGTTCCTGAATGTTTCTGACAAGAAAATGACCAATGCTGAGTGGCCAACCATTGAGTATTGCCAACAAATTACTCGAGTGGTCTTATGCGGTATGCCCCTGCTTAATGGCAATGTGTGGGCTACTCCAGAAAAGATTCACACTGTGCTCATAGCTCACAACAACAATGAGTTTCTGCAAGATGTCATCTTTGACCCAAACCAAACTTCTAAAATGAGGCAGTTTAATGAAACAGGTGACTGTGCCAACATCAAAATTTCTGCCCACAATAGCATAGGGGGCAAATCCATGGCTGAGCAGATAGCCTTTGCTGTAAAATAATGCATAACTGCATGAGCTTGACCACAAACTGTAATGCATTAAAAGCCTAGATTTGCCATAGACTTGTAATGCATTACTTTGGCCTATTCTATAGCTATGGGTCACCTTATACT